GCTTTAAATCATAGTGGGAACGAGGCCTTAGAACTGCCAGGAGTGCAACTGGGAATAAGGGTTCAGCCTGAATGGGATCCAGACTCCCATATCAGGAGGATTTTAAAGGGACAAAAGAAGTCCAGTGACACTAAAAAGTGTGTCAAGGCTGCTGAGAGCAGTGGAACTGCCAGAGGTGCAGTTATAGGTGTATGGGCCTTAAGGGGTTTCAGATTCCCATATAAGAGGGAAAGATTCCAGAAGGACAGAAGTCCTGTGAAATCATTTTAAATTGATAAGTTCTTTGAGCAGTGGAGAGCCAGTAAAGGGAAGGCTCAGATCCACATTATTCTGTAGAATTGTAATTTATTAATAAATTTATACTCCTATTGAATAAGCTTTAGTGGAAGGGGTGTGGAAAGAACTAAAACACAAGTGAAGAATAACTGAAGTCCTTGAGGGAACTTGAACAATGTCAATTTGTAACAACTGAAGTTATACATATACAAATACACACACACACACACACACACACATATATATATGTATAACTTCTGAACAACTGAAGTTATACACACACACACACACACACATATATATATATATATATATATATATATATATATAGCAACTGAAGTTATGAATAACAACTGAATAACAACTGAAGTTATACATATATATATATATATATAGAGAGAGAGAGAGAGAGAGAGAGAGAGCAACAACAAGTCTTGAGAACTAGTTACCAAGAAAGATACTGTCATAAGTTCTACATGTAAATAAAAGTAATTTTCTTCTTGTTCACAAAAGAGTGGCCTGAAGTGATTTATGTATAGCATCAAAACATGCTACCAATAATATTAAAAACACTGAATAGTAGAGACACTTAAGTCAGTGGGAGAACCAAGGGTTAAAGAGAGTTTTGAGGGGAAAGAAGCCTCTGACTATTTAGGAGAAGAAGGGAGAAGAATCCTGTGTAACCCAGTGGTTGTCGTATAATTTGTTGCCGATCAGTGGGATCCAAAAGACCCAGTGTGGTGGGATCCAAGAGACCCAGTGTGAGGGGATCTGAAAGATCTAGTATGAGAGATCTAAGAGATCTGGCCTCCATACATGGGGACCAAAAAACAACTTTGGTAGTGCCAAGGTGACCAGATGTCATACCCACAAAGGAGGAGAAGCCACTGCAAAATGTAGAGAATTCAAGAAAAATGAAGGACATTGCATAAGAAAAACTAAAAAGCACTATACTATACTATAAATATAAATATATCCTTTTTAGTCATGCTCAAAATGGAGGATATTTTGAAACTCCTCCTGGGCAGAAGGTTGAAATGTAGGATATGTCCTGGAAAAGGAAGACATCTGGTCACCCTGGGCGGTACATGCATCTTACTGGTTACACTTTCCTCATCTCTGGGATGGACGATGAAAGTAGGAATCCAACATCTGGAGGGTCATGCAGCTAGCCTTTGGTCTCTGCTGGGGTTTGGTTTCAGGATCTCCTGTGGATACAAAAATTGGTGGATGCTCAAGTCCCATTAAATAGAATGATGTAGTAAAATGGTGCCTCTTATATTAAATGGTAAAATCAAAGTTTGTTTTTGAGAATTTATATATTTTAAAAATATTTTCAAGCTGTGGATGGTTGAATCCATGGATAAGAAATCCAGGGCAGGCATTGGGAAAAGGATCTGAAACGTATGCAGTTCAGTAGGCCTTGCTCCCAGTTATAAGATAATAGGGTTTTCCAATAAGATCAGATAATAGGATTGCAGCACATATTTGTCTGCCAGCCTGAAAAAACACTGGCAGAACTAAGTCAGGAATTTTTATTAACATGCAACTTCTTTACTTGGGATGCCAGTGATACAAGCATGATTTACTTTGGAGCAATCATACTTAAGATCACCTTGCACAATCATAATTTTTCATAACTCTTGACTGTATCTACACTGCAAAATTAATCCAGTTTGACACTGCTTTAACTGCCATGGCTCAATGTAATGGGATTTTGGGATTTCTGGTTTTGTGAGCTATTTAGCCTTCTCTGGCTGCATCCGCACTACAGAAATAATGCAGTTTCACACCACTTTAACTATCATGGCTCAGTGCTAGGGAATCATGTGATTTGTAGTTTGCTGTGGCACCAGAACTCTCTGACAGAGAAGGCTAAATGTCTCACAAAACTACAGTTCCCAGACTTCCCTAGTACTGAGTCATGGCAATTAAAAGTGGCGTCAAACTGGATTAATACCGCATTGTGGCAGCTGCCGCCTTATCTTGTGCCAACAGTAAAAGAAATTCACTCATGCTGTTGTTTTAGACAATCACAGCTGACTCTTCAGGTTGTAAAAATTCTGAGTCAATATTTAACCTGTAGTTTATCTCCTACAATATTCGCTCTCTACAAATATGTACTTTAGAACTCATCCAAAGTTAATGCTGGCCACCTCAGAAGGGCAGACTCTGATTTATCTATTATTTTAAACTGGTAACAGTGGATGGTCTTGGGCAAGTCACACTCTCTCGGCCTCAGGGGAAGGCCATGGCAAACCTCCCCTGAACAAATCTTGCCAAGAAAACCCCATGATAGGGTTTGCCATAAGCTGGAAACAACCTGAAGGCACACAGCAACAACAAACATTGGAGTTTGGTTTCAGGATCTCCTGTGGATACCAAAATCTGTGGATGCTCAAGTCCCACTAAGTACAAGGGCATAATACAATGGCATCCCTGATATAGCAAAATCAAGGCTTGTTTCATAGAATTTATAATATTTTAAAATACAGTATTGTCAAGCCCTGGATGGTTGAATCTGTGCATATTAAATAATAATAATAATAATAATAATAATAATAATAATAATA